CCCCCCCCCCCCCCCCCCCCCAACCGGACCAGCTGTGCCGTACTCGTGGGCGGCGCGGCCACTGAGTATTTTGCGAGCGGGGGCCACTCCTGACAACGTGGAAATCGAAGACGGCGACCAAGAGGAGAGCGACGAGAGCGGCGAGGGCGACAGGGAAGCGGCAGTGGCGGCCGAAAAGAAGGCCATCGCGGAGGGGAGGGCGAAGGCGAAGGCGCTGATGGACGCCACCGACGAGTTCAGGGCAAAGCAGGTATGTTGCATGCTGCAGTTTTTTTTTTTTTCTCCCATCATTGGACTCTGTCGTCTGCCCCTCTGGCCCCTATCCTCCACTTCTACTAGCTAGACGACCCAACCGGGGTCACACAGGAGAGGGGCTGGACCCCCTCCTGCGGTTCCTGCCTGAGGTATTTTTATCGCGAGAAGGGTACAGCAATCCCTTCCGACTTACGAAGTCGATTATGGTTTACTAACAACGAGCTTTGCCGCGCGTCGCTTTCATCCTGGACCAGGATTTATTTAGAGAGAAAAAAACTCACTCTGCCGGGGCTCGAACCCGTGACCTGGCCCTTAGCAGGCTGCGAGGTTACCCACTAGACCACCGGGGCGACCGGTTAGTATGTATGCGGGTGTATAATCCCGAAACCGCACCGTGCCCCCCCCTCCCCCCCCCCTCCCTACTGGAGCACGCTACACTTCTCGCTGGGGCGGCGAGTATCGAGACCTCCACCAAGAAACCCATCTCCCCGCGCACCCGGGTTTGTTACTCTTTTTCTTCCTCTCTAGGCACGTTTCCTGATACACGAAACAAACTCGGGTCGTTTTCTGCAGGGGGTGAGGGGGGTGGCCGGGGGGGGGGCATACTTGTGTTTTTGCATGCCTTAGCGGCTAAGCCATTGAACGGGGGAGCGTTTTTTGTTAATCACGATGTCAAGGGAGGTAGTTGGTGCAGCTCTCGGGATTCACTCGCCAGGTGGTCCGTTTTTGTTTCTTTTCCAATTCGAATCACAATGGCATCACTCGAGGAGATGCACCGGCAGTATGACGATCTGAAAGGTCATTTTGTGGCGTTTCTGCCATGCAGGGTATGTTTACTTCTGCAGGGTCAGCAGTATATTCCGAGGTAGGTATCTCTTAGCACTAGGGTACAGTCAACCGTTCCTGTCGTTGTCTATGCCCAGGAGGTTCATTGTGATCATTTCAAGGAAAGCGAGTATTCGGAGATGTTGTTGGTATTTTGTCTACGCATGCGAAGCGAAGGTTTTGGCCCATTCTCCGCGTTCTGTTATCGGCGTTGGTTTGCAAAGCACCCTGGTGTACAGGTAGTGCCCGAGCTCTCGGATTCATTCTCGAAAGTCATTTTGGTGTACCCCTTTTCGTATGGGACGTAAGTGTACTTCTCACACCGCCATCGCCAACATCCTGGACTCGTTATCTTGCGGATAGAGGTGTTCTTGCAAGAGATAAAAAGAAACGAGCAGCGACCATTAACTGCCCTTCCTTGTGTGAATGTCAAAAAAAAAAACGCCAGGTGGCGGAAGGACTGCCCGCGGACACACCGCTTCCGCCGTTTTTCTTGCGCGACCTCGAGGCTAACAAGGCCAAGGAGGCGGAGGCGGAGAGGGAGAAGGAGAGACAGGCGGTGCGGTCGAGCAACCCTTACATGCAACAGGACGGGCTGCCCAAGTTCGAGACTATCACGCCGGAGGCTGCGAAGGAGGTCGGTGTGTCGTTGTAGGCGCGATGTCGTTGTTGTTGTTGTTGTTGTTGTTGTTGCCTTCTACAGAGGTTGGCGTGTTGTTTTTGAATGCTCTTGAGCTCCATTGTTGTTGTCGTTGTTTTTGTCTTGTGTGGTGGGCACGGTAGATGGGAGTTCGCTGCTGTCGAGCGGGAGCGTCACGCCGGAGGATTCGAAGGAGGTCGGTGTGTTGCTGTTAGTGCATGCGCTTTAGCTTCGTTGTCGTTGTTGCTGTCTTCTGTAGAGGTTGGCGTGTCGGTGCAGGCGCTATAGCTTCGTCTTACTCTTCTGTAGTTGGCCCGATGGATCGGTGTTCGCTGCTGTCGAGTACAAAAACGTGCCAAAAATGCCCTGAGAGAAAGGACGCAACAATTGCCAATATGGGCGTGCACAGTCGTGCGACGAAGCGGTCCTGGCCAGGTACTTGTCGGTCGGAGCATGTGTCCTAACTAGTATACTACATATATCTCGGGATCAACCAGTCAGAAAGTTTTGTCGCGGGCAAGGTTGCCGTTCGGGGGCGGGGAGGAGCAACGCAGAGCCAAAAGTTGAGCATAGCCTTGCATCGTGAAAAACTAGCGCAGAAGTGTTTTGGTTTGCGAAACATTCACACCTGTCGATCAGGAAATGAATCGCCGCAATGTCCCGCTGCTGTGCGTGCCCTCCTCCTGCGGGAGAAGTTGCGAGCTTCACGACAAATTTCGTTTATTTCCTCACGACAAGCTGAGGGTATAACGGGAGCACGTATGCGAGTTCGTCGCGTAGGGGGGGGTGCGTGCGTCCTGGGAAAGTTCAGGAGAACGTCCCAGGAAAGTTCCGGAGTACGTTCTTCCCACTGATAGAAACTAGTTCCCGGCCTTGTTAGCGGCAGCCTCCCTCAGATAGTCCACAGACTTGTTCCTGACACGGCATCTTACACCTCCTCGGGCAAGAGTCGTGGTGGCGCACGCAAATCCCCTGCCCCCGCCCCCCCCCGATGCCAAACGCGACGTGCTCCGTGCCGTTTTTATTTGTGTTTGTTTTTTATAGCCTTGCGTGCCCACACACACACACACAACCGTCTTTCCATTGGTCAGCCGGTTAGCGCGGTCGATGCTAATAATAAAGACACACACAACTTTCCGTCCGCGCGTCGTAGCTGTGTCGACCCGCAGCTTGCATCGCATCTCTGCTTCCCCCACGGTATCTCCGTTTTGTCGTTTTCTGTTTGTCTTACCGTGCCCAGCGCCCGTTGATTCTCACGTTTTTTTTTTTTTTTCAGGCGTTCGACGTTTTGCTGGAGGATCTAGAGACGGGTTTTGCCAAGTTTGAGGAGGATCTCGTCGACTTCACCTCCGGGGAGTCTTGGGTAAGGGGAGGTTACTCTCCACGGAGAGAAACAGACAGGCACGGACAGATAAAGACAGACAGATAGGGGGTGGGGGGGCTCGGAGCAAGTAGAGAAGTGGAAGACCGACAGCAAGACAGCGACATACAGACAGACAATGGATAGGCAGATAGTTTAGATAACACGGAGGAAGGGTGGGATGGTAGACAGACAGATAACTCAGACAGAATGTGGGATCGTAGACTGTTAGATATCAGAGACGGGGGATGGGGGTGGGTGGAGGCGGGAGCAAGTAGAGAACAAAAATGCCGATGTAATCGAGGACTCGTCTCGTTTCTTCTGTGAGGTACGCGACACCTACCCTGCTGCCGTGTCCGCCCGCCCTCTCACCATTTTTCCTTCCGCTTTCATGCAGAACATCCACGGCGTTTAGCGTGCACACTTTTCTACCCCCCCCCCCCCCCCCCCCCCCCCCCCCCCCCCCCCCCCCCCCCCC